TGAGGAAGTGCTGGGACAGACACAGAGCAGGACTGCCCACTCCACGGGCCACAGGCCCTCTCGGGGCCTGGGTGTGGCTGCTAAGGAGACAGGCAAGGGGGGCAGGTGAGTCACTTTCCTCTCCCCATCCCAGTGAATCTCAGTGAGCTGAGGGGGCCAGTGTTCCTCCAAATGACTGTAGAGGGGCCTCACAGAGACAGGGACCCAGCCCTCCCCTCTGCCGGGGACCCAGACCAGTGAGGGTCAGAGCACCCCCGGGCTAGAAGAGACTCAGAGGGCATCCACACCTTCCTGGAGGTCATCTTGTCCAGCCATCTCTCCCTGCCAGGGGCCCATCAGGCAGGCCTGAGTGCCCTCCACACCCTTGGCAATTGCCCAGTGAAATTTCAGGGAGGTGGCCTCAGTATGAATGAAGGAATGTATGAATGAAGGAATGCGTGGTAGGAGGTGACACTGGTGACTCAGGGTGACTCAGCTGGCGCCTGCCAAGGGCCTACCGAGCAGCTGTCTGCAGCCACACTGGCCCCCAGCCTGCCCACCCTACAGCAGGGGCCCGTTCTCCTTTCCCCAGGGCCAGCCTCTCCTGCTGGCTTCATGCCCAGACCTTTAGAAAATGGTGGGGAAGAGGGTGCATGGCAGGTGCCCAGGCTGAGCCTGGGAGTGGCATGAGGGAGGGCCTGAGAGAAGAAGAGAGAGACAGGGATGCTACTCCTCCTCCTAGAAAAACCTGGACACTCCACCCAGAGGCCCGTCTTATCCAGTAAATCCTCATAATCCAGACAGGAAACCAAGTCCAGGAGGAGAGAAGACCGGCCACGGTCAAGGGGCTGACAAGGCTGAACCAAGGAAATGATGACGCCTCTTGGTCCTAGCCACATCATTGGTCTTCTAGTTGGTGGAGGACATGGGCATCACCCCATATATCCCAAGGCTCCATCCGTGAAGCCAAGCAAGTCCCATCGGGGTCTCTGCTAGAAGAATCTGACATTGCCCGTATGCCTGAGATGACCAGATGCTTATTTCACTTTGCCAACCCCCTATCCATCTATCCATGATCTATCTGTCCATGCATTCACCCACCCAGCCACATCCACACATTTATCCATCATTGATCAATCCATCCTTCCATCTGCTCACCCCTCATCCACCCTTCCTTCCTTCTATCCATCCATCCATCATCATCTATGCATTCACCCACCCATCCACATCCACACATTTATCCATCATTGATCAATCCGTCCTTCCATCTGCCCACCCCTCATTCACCCTTCCTTCCTTCCATCCATCCATCCATCATCCATGCGTTCACCCACCCAGCCACATCCACACATTTGTCCATCTTCCCTCAGACCATGCACACATTCATTTATCCATTTAACCATTTATCCTTCCACAAATCCACCTGGAATTCATACCCTTCGGTTACTGGATCATTCATCCATCGATTCCTTATTCATTAAACAAACCCTAGTAAGCCTTGACGGGGTAGCCAGTCCTGTGACTTTCCCCTGACACTCAGCCTTCCACACCCTGCTCCCTTCTCTCCAGCCATCAAGCACTACTCATCCCAGCAGGCCCCAGTGACTCAGACATGCATGGTCCATGACTTTCAGGAGCTCATAGTCTCAAGGGACAGACAAAATCTGAGCCCAGAAAACTCTAAACCAGGCAGAAGTGCCCGTGCCTCCACCCCTCCCCATCTCCAGGATGGTGGAGTCCTCAGTCCTGCTCCTGCTGCTGCTGTTCTTTGTTCCTCACCTGCTGGGGACCGGGAGGACCCGAGCTCCCCGTTCTTGCACCAGCTGGCTCAGGGAGAGGGGTCGATGCGGAGGGGGAGGACTGGGGCAGCAGGGAATGAGAAGCACCTGCCACTTCCTGCCTGGCCCGAGCTGGGCCCCCAGTGCTCCTAGGAGTGTTCTGTGGTGCTTGGCTTCAGGGCCTCGTTAATTCTGGACCTGCCCAGTGCTTTGAGATCCCCGGATAAGAGGGAATTCCAGAGGGGCAGCTCAGCCTCATAAAACCGTAATGAGTTGCGTTCTTCCTGCTGTGTTTTTATCATCACGACGACATGGTACAGCTTTCGCATTTCCAAGTGCCTCGCCCCTGTGATGGTTTAATCCCCGCAGCAGCCATGGCCGGAGGGTCAGGGAGGGCAGTGAGAGGCCACTGGACTGCAACTCGGGTGGCTCTGCCAGCACCAACTGCATGACCTTGGACAGAACGTGCCTCTTAGGCCTCAGTTTCCTCAACTGCAGAAGGAGAGTCAACACCTCCTCGAAGGGGCAGCGCGAGGGTGAAATGAGACTCTGGATTGGAGACCCCAGAGCTGTGCCGTGGAGGTTGTGCTGAACCAAGCTGTGGTCAGCGGGGCGGGGCCGGCCACGCACACAGCCGGCAGGGGCTCCTCGCAGTCCTCAGGAAAAGGTCCAAGCCGCTCAGCCTGGCCAACCTCCTAGCCTGGCCTCCGTCCCCGCTCCACACCACCCAGACCCCCCACACACTCCTCTCCAGCCCACCCCAGGGGCTCTCCTGCATTCAAAACTTGAGCACGGTGTCCCTCCGCCTGGAGCCCCCTCCCTGCCTCTCCTCCCAGCCAGCCCCTTCCCCTGGCTGGTATCTCAACCTTCAGGGCTCTGCTGGGATGCCCCTTCTTCCAGGGAGACTTCTCTGATGCCTAGGTTCGGTGCTCCCCCTCCTCTACATCTCCTCTGCTAAGGCACATGCACTGGGCACCCTTACCATCCAGGGCTGCTGCTCTGTCTTCACCATCAGACTGGCAGCGTGGGAGGGCTGGGACCACATCAAAATCACTGATGTGCCCAGAGGGCCAGTGGGGCCTGGCACTGGGGGCCACAGAATCATCTGATGCGTGGAGAAAGAGTGATGCCATGTGACCCGGGCTCCCTGTAGACACCTAGCAGTGACTCGTAGGAGACACGAGGTTGGGTTTAGGGGTCTGCGCCCCAACAGGCATCGTTTTCTTCCCCCCTCATTATCTTCCCTCCTGCTTGGATCCACCCCAGCCTGAGAGGGAACCACAGACAGACCTGGGCCCATCAGCAGAGGCTGTCCTCCCTGGGCCTCCCAGTCCTGTGCTGAAGCAAGGATGGGTCAGTGGCGCCAGGGGAGCACCAAGGCACATGCCCAGCCCTCAGCTCCTGTGGAGTCCTGGGTTTGAGGCCCTGCTCCAGGCCCTTGGGGTGAGCCAGGAGGCGCCGTGGGGAACAGAAGCATAGAGGCAGGAGGGGGAGGTCCTGACAGAGGCCTTGTGGTGGACAAACTCAGGCCTCTGAGACCCCAGGAGCACCTCGCTGGCCCCTGCACACTTGCAAACACCCTGTGACCTGGCTGTGGAGCTGGGGCCGTGCAGCCCAGGCAGGACACAGGAAGCGGGCGGGTAGTGTTTTTGTGAATGAAACTGCAGCCGGGCTTCCTCCGGGTCTCCACGCCCTACCCTGCCGGCCACGCTTGACCACTCAGTAACCTCAGGCGAAGCGCTGGCAGAAAGGGGGAACTTCAAAACGAAAGTGTGAGTCAGAAGGGAGAAGGAAACCGGGAGAGAAATTCTTGTTTCATGGAGGCCTCGCATGAGACCCGACCTGGGCCAGAGCTGCAGCCTGACCCCCAGCAGTCCCGGCCCCAGGGATGCCCACTGGCAGCTTTGGCCCCCTCCAGTGCCATCTGGACAGGGGAGGGGTCGCCCACACCCTGACTGGGGCTCTCGACAAGGATGGCTGCAGGCCAGTCATTTCCCATTTATCCCAGGAACGTTGACTGAGCACCTACTGTGTGCCCGGCCTTGTGCTGTGAACAAGACAAGCAGAGCCCGGCCTTCATGGAGCCAACAGTCCACACTGGTGGCCATTAACAGGGCAGCAGATGACTTGTTGCCAGGCTGGGGCCATCATCCTGGGAGAGCTTGGCATGATAGGTGCAGGCCGGTGGGGCTGCGGGAAAAGACCAGTGGGACTCACAGATGGCTCGGGAGTGGCCAGGCCTCTGCTGAGCTGCCCAGGTCCCCTCAGGTAGGACCAGAGGGGAGCAAGAGGGGAGCAAATTGAATAGTTTGTCTGAGGTTGTTACTCGTGCTACTATGGAGGTAAACAGGTAGCTATGATGGACTGGCAGGCTGTACCTGGGAGGAGGTGGCATGCTGCTGGGCTTGGAAGGAGGGGACCGGACCACCACAAAGAATGGAGTCACGTGCACGCGGGTGGCAGGGAGGGCGGCCCGGGGAAGCAGCGAACTGCAGAGGTCGCTGCGACGGAAGAAGAAGGAATGATAGGGCCAAAGATGAGAATGAGGCGGGGCACGTGGGGCACTGGGGGTGGCTCGCAAGGTCCCCGTCGGCCTTCTGAGCCCAGAGCTTGGGCAAGGCTTGTGACCAGACAGAAAGGAAGGGTGCTGAACGCCAGGGGTTCCCGCCTTGCAGAGGGTCAGCTTTGGGGAAGTCGCAGTCCATCTCCCTTGGAACAGCCAGGAAAGCCCCCTCCATCCTGGGTATCTGGGGCTGGGGTGTGAGGCAGGGCTGCTCACCCAGCCACCTGGCTGGGACTCCCCCAACTTCCTCTGGACCTCAGCTCCCCACCCAGAAAGGTTCTTCCTCTCTCCCTCATTGCTTGGAACGAATGGACTCTGCTGTCCCTTTAAAGGGACCTGAGTCAGAGAGTTAAGAATGAAACTGACTCATGGTGGAAGGGGTGGTCACCAGCTGGCCAGGCGCCAGGGCTGCGGCGGGAGAGGAAGCCGGGCAACCGCAGCTGCCTGTGTGTGCTCTGCTGCAAAGGGCAGAAACCACAAAACCCCATTTGAAATTCCGCCGTGCAGTGCGTCTTGTGTAATGAGATTACCCCTCATAATGGGGGCATTCAGGGCCCACACGGGCCTGGGGGCTGGGGGCCTGCCCCCCCAGGACCAGCTGATGCTGATGTCATCTTCAGTTAGCAGTACCCCCTCCCTTGATTAAGAACTTTAAAAAAAAATGCACCAGGAAACTACAGTGAGAGCCAGAACGGAAGTCTTGGTTTTATTTATAGTTGATAACTTACATCCGGCCTGCTCCCCGGGAAGCTCAGCGAGGAGGAGAAAGAGCCCAAAGGAGCCAGCGACAAAAATGCTCAAACCCCTGAGCTAATATGGTGACTGAGAGCAAACCTAAAGCTCCCTTCTGAGCTCCCCAGCAGCCAAAGCAAAGAGAGTACAGTGCCCTACAGCATGACGTCACAGAAAACCAGGGTCTGTGGATCCTGGGTTCCAATAAGAACCTTAGATTCTGTTTTCTCACTGGAAAATGAAGAGAAAAAATACTGAATTGGTTGGGAGGGCATGCAACGCACACAGTGTCTGGATGAGCCTCAGAGGCCCCATCAGTCTAGGGTCTATGAGAAGACAGCACAGGTGCCTCCCTCTCCATGCCGTGCGCAGGGCAGTCACTCATGGATTGCAACATGCTTTCCTACAGCCAGATTCAGCCTCACAGCCGAATTGCACAAGTTCTCCTGGGGCTACCACCAATGCCCCCGTCGGCTGGAGCTGAACTTGCACGTTCCCCGGCCTCTAACCAGTTAAGGAAAGGATCAGAAGGAGCTGGGTCATCATGATCTTCCCAGCACCTGGCTCTTGCCTGCACCTAGCAGACGCTCAAGAAAAAATTGTCTAGTTAAGGAAGAGGCCGGGAAGGACGGGAGAGACGAGAAGAAAAGGAAAGAGTAGGAGAATTGGGAGAGGAAACTTGAACCTCAGGCAAGTGGTTGAGCTTCTCTGGGCCTCGGTTTCCTCATCTGTTAGTGGGGGGTTTTAGTAGCTACCTAATAGAGTCATTCTGAGGAGTAAATGAGGCTGGGCATATAAACCACGTGGCACACAGGATGTCCTCAACAAGTGAGGATGACCATGAGGAAGAGGAGGAGGTGGTGGGCAGGGAGAGGGGAAGCTCCTGACACTGGGGGTGGGCACGTGGTGGGTCCCACCTGGCCAGTCCTCCTAACTCCCACGCCCCACACCCCCAGTGCGTCAGCAGTCAGCCAGGACCCCGCCACGCCCAGAGGCAGTCCCCAGGTGGAGCAGTGCGGGATGGGGTGCCAGTGGGGGTCAGGCATGCTCTTCTTCCTCTTTCAGTCAGGGAAAGCTCCATTCTGCCAGGGTCACACAGCGCCCCAGCACCGGCCAGAAGTCCTAGCCCAGGTGAGCGCAGAGCCACACCCATGCGTGCCCACTTAATTTCTGTGGAAAGGCTGTGCCGCCCATCTACCTCCTCAGGGCACGAGCTACCGGCCTGCTCAATGCCCACTCAAAAGGCTTCTCCCAGGGGACGACCAATGCCCACCACCCTTGCAGACTGAATTCCAGAATTCCTGTGCCCAGTGCCACACAGAGTGCCTGGTGGCGCATCTGTGACCCACCTGGCCCGGGGCAGGTCTGTGTCTTCCACCTCCCAGCTGAGCCCCACGCCTTTCTGGACAGGCTTGTCTCCCTTGCTTCTCTCTGGTCATCAGCTTCAGCAGCAAACCACAGAGACACAAAGGCTCCTCTCACTGCAGCACACAGGGTCTGGGAGAAACAGAGGAAGCCCAGGATCGGCCAGCTTTGGAGCCCTCCACGAAGCATCCAGCCTACCGGGTGAACACAGTGACCAGTCCCTGAATTCAGGGCGGACAGACAACAAACAAGAAAACAGATGAATAAACCAGACATCGGCAGGTGGCATTCACCCCTCCAAGAGAAGAGGATGCAGGGGTCGGGGAAGTGCCCACACCTGGTGGGGGTGCAGGGCCAAGACGGACCCACCACGGAGAAGATGACACCAGGAGGGAGACTGTCCCAGGCGGAGGGACCAGCAAGTGTGAGACCCGGCAGGGAGAGCTGGGGTGTGGGTGACGCAGGCCCTGAGGGCCACTGGCTGAGGGAAGGAGCCAGGAGCTGTCCTAAGTCCCAGGGGAAGTCACTGGAGGCGTTAAACTTGGCATGACATGGCTGGATTTAAGGTCTGAGATGAACTTTCCTGCTCCTGAATGGACTCTGAAGAGAAGGAGGATCCTACCTTCCATAACCCACCCGGGAAAGGCACCGGCCTCCTTGACCCAGGGGAGGGCAAGAGGCCGCCGCCCTGTGCCTGGGTCCCCACGGCCTCCAGGGTCCCTTCACGTCTTCACCTCACAAGCCTGGAACCTGGAAGCAGAGGTACCTGCCCAAATCCATGGGGCAGCCCCAGCCTCCCCATCTCTGGCGCAGGGAAGTGGGCAGCTTTCTCCTCCTGGTTTATGGCCACGGAGGACTCCAGGCACAGTGGTCCTCACTGGCTCTAGGGACCATGGGGACGGCTGCCCTCTGTGTGACCGTGGCTGGGCAGCAGCCAGCTGTGGGCTATCATGGATGGGGCCTGGAGGCCTCTGGCTGTATAGTGTTCTAGCTTTGGCACCCCCTTGGGGGCTCCAGGTGGGAGGTGCCCACCAGAGGGGACCTGGGCAGCTCAGCAGAGGCCTGGCCGCTTCCGAGCCATCTGTGGATCCCACTGGTCTGTTCCTGCAGCCCCACCGGCCTGCACCAGTCATGCCAGCTCTCACAGGATGATGGCCCCAGCCTCGTAAGGAGTCACCTGCTGCCCTCCTGCCCCTCCAGCTGGTTCCCCACCCAGCAGCCACAGGGCCTCCTTAAAACCTAAGAAACACCCTGCTTCTTACCTGCTCAGACCCCACCAAGGCCCGGCCACCTCACTCCAGATCAACTCCAGTCTTCACTGAGCCCAAAGGTAGAAGTGCTCAGAAAGGTGGGGCTCAGCAGGTGGTAAGGCGCCTGGACCCAAGTAGCCAGCAGCTGAACAGGCCATCCCTGAAGCCACGCACGCCCCAGCCACGCAGGGGTGACGGCCGAGGCTTCCATGACAGGGTGTGGGTGGGGCCAATATGGCCAGTGAAAGCACTGGGTTCAGTGGGGAGGGTGTCTCCCGCCCTCTGACTGTCCAAGGTGGGGAAAAGTCAGCTTCAGGTGAGGAAGACCCCGGATGCCTGGCTTTGGGTGAGGGAGACCCCCGGACGCCTAGCTTCTGCCCTGGTCTCAGCCCGGGCTCCCCACTCGCTTGGCCTCTCCAAACATACTTCCCTGCTTTGCAAGGATGTGGGTTTGTGGGACAATAACAGGAGAATCAAGGCAAGAATAGCCTTGGTGGGTGGAGCTGCCTGGTGGGTGGGGCTAGCCCAGGTGGGTGGGACTGCTTGGGGGTGGGGCTAATCCTGGTGGGTGGGGCTGCTTGGGTGGGGCTAGCCCCGGTGGGTGGGGCTTTCTTCCCTGCCAACATTCCCTTCTCTTGGTTAAGGCCAGGGCAGAGCCCACACATGGGTGTGCCCAACCTTAAGGCCTGCCCTGGGTGAGTCAGGCCTCCCCAGCTCACCTGGGTCCTACCTGAGGGGAACCTACACAGCCAACCCCCTCAAGGATCCTGAAGCCACCCAGGGGCCAATGGGGACAGGGTGCCATCCATTCATTCAATTATTCATTTATTTACTGGCTTCACCATCCCTTCCTGGGTACCATTAAGAACAGTGGCCCTAGGAATACAGAACCTCCTTAGGGGTCTCCTGCAGGCAAGGCACCCTAAGAATAAGCTATGTAACCCACGTGGCCTTGCTGTGAGGGTTCCCCCCTTAACAGATGAGGAGCTGAGCCACGGAGGCCTCACGGCTGGGCAGCTGGGGGTGGACCCCACAGACTGGAGGGAGATGGGCCGGGCCAAGGGGTTCTGCTGGCCCCAGGCCTGTTGTACGTATCTTGGTTAGCTCTAAAAATGGGTACTTGCTCAATTCCTACTCTTCATTGAGCACAGGGAGCTCTCGGACCTTCCCTCCTCCCTGCACCTTCCCCCAGTTCCACACGGGTGTATTGAAGACTTGCCAAGGGCCAAGCCCGGCACCAGGTGGGGCACACAGCAGGGAACCCAAGGAAACCCCCCCTGCCCAGCTCTCCAGGACACTATGGTCAATGCCAGCGGGAAGCACAGAGAAGCCAGGGGAAGAAGGGCAGGCAGAAGGAGGGAGCAAGCTGGAGGGGGAGAGGGCAGTCAGAAGGAGGGAGCCAGCGGAGGGGAGAGAGGGCCGGCAGCTCGGTGCACCTGGACCCTGGTGGAAGCTGGCTGCGACCAGAGGAGAGCCTGCAGCCCAGAGCTAGCCCCAGACCCACAGCGCCTTGTGGGGCTTCACCAGGCCTTGTCGGGGATTTGGACTTGAGAGCTGGGGATCCTGCAAGTTGCTGAGGCTGGGCTACTCGGCATTTTAGAAGCCTCCCCCAGGTGCAGTGGAGGTGAACTGGAGGGAGTGGGAGAGGAGGTTCCCATGCTCACCCAGGTGGGAGATGGTGGTTGGAGGGACGGTGACCCTGACAGGACTCAGGGACAAATTAAAGGTGAGGGCCCAGGAGAGGGGTATCCAGACAGCTCCCAGGAAGATGGTGACGCCACTCCGTGAGGTGAGAGCCAGGATGTCATTTGGTCCCCGCTGAACTGGAGATGCCTGTGCAAAGCTTCTAAGATGCCCGAGGTAGACTCTGCAGCTCCTCCAAAGGCAAGAGCTCTGCTCTGTCCCCAGGGAATCAGGGGAGGTCTCCCCAGTGCCCTACTGGGACCTCCAGAGCCCCTATGAAAACCTCCCCCAACCGAACCACCGGCCCACCAGCGCCACCTACCGGCTGCTCAGGGAAGGCCCCCAGCAACTTGCTGAGGGCAGATCCTGATGTGTCCCCATTTTAGAGATGGGGAAACTGAGGCCAGGGGACAAGACGAAGCCTGTATGAGGTTATGTAGAGGTGGAAGTGGCTTAAGATCTTAGTTCTGCTTGGCAGATCCTCTCCAAAGAGCAGATAGAAGGGGGTGGTGTCAGGGGATACCTCACCTCACCTTTGCTGTCAGCATTCCAACAACCCTAGATTCTTTTGGCACCCCTCAGTGTCACTCAGTCTCACCAGAGCCTTGCTCTGATTATCAGGGTTCATCTTTTGGGCTGATATCTGCTGCTGGGACTCCCCACAGCCCACTTAGGTCCTGCTGGGGAGGACTGTAGGACTCTCACTGTCCCAGCTTGATTTTCTCCCTCTGTCTTTGACACTCAGAGTGCCAGCCCACCTGTTAAATCATGATGAGTTGGTGATGGTGATGATGACGGTGATGACAGTGATGATGGTGATGATGATGGTGTTGATGATGGTGGTGATGGTGATGATGATGGTGATGATGATGGTGGTGATGGTGATGATGATGGTGGTGATGGTGATGATGATGGTGATGATGATGGTGGTGATGGTGATGATGATGGTGATGATGATGGTGGTGATGGTGATGATGATGGTGGTGATGGTGATGATGGTAAGGACATGGTGATGATGATAATAGTAATAGTGATGAGAGTGGGCGTGATAATGAGATGATGACGGATAACGGTGGTGATGGTGATGGTGATGGTTATATGATTATGATGGTGGTGATTGTGGTGGTGGTGATGGTGATGGTGGTGGTGATGATGATGGTGATGATGGTGGTGATGTGATGGTGGGGGTGATGATGGTGATTGTGGTGGTGATGATGATGGTGGTGATGATAGTGGTGATGATGGTGATGATCATGGTGATGGTGATGATGATGGTGATTGTGGTGTTGATGATGGTGGTGATGATGGTGGTGATGTGATGGTGGGGGTGATGATGATGGTGATTGTGGTGGTGATGATGATGGTGGTGATGATAGTGGTGATGATGGTGATGATGATGATGGTGATGGTGATGATGATGGTGATTGTGGTGTTGATGATGGTGGTGATGATGGTGGTGATGGTAATGGTGGTGGTCATGATGATGGTGATGGTGATGGTGGTGATGGTGATGATGATGGTGGTGATGGTGATGTTGGGGTGATGATAGTGGTGGTGGTGATGATGATGGTGGTGATGGTGATGATGATGGTGATGATGGTGGTGATGGTGATGATGATGGTGGTGATGGTGATGATGATGGTGGTGATGGTGGTGGTTATGATGATGGTGATTGTGGTGGTGATGATGATGGTGGTGATGATAGTGGTGATGATGGTGATGGTGATGATGAGGGTGATTGTGGTGTTGATGATGGTGATGATGATGGTGGTGATGGTGATGGTGGTGATGGTGATGGTGAAGGTGATGGTGATAATGGTGATGGTGATGGTGAAGGTGATGGTGATAATGGTGATGGTGATGGTGATGATGATGGTGGTGATGGTGATGGTGAAGGTGATGATGATGGTGGTGATGGTGATGGTGAAGGTGATGGTGATAATGGTGATGGTGATGGTGATGATGATGGTGGTGATGGTGATGGTGAAGGTGATGGTGATAATGGTGATGGTGATGGTGATGATAGTGATGGTGATGGTGGTGATGGTGATGGTGGGGGTGATAATGATGGTGGTGGTGGTGATGATGACGGTGGTGATGGTGATGATGATGGTGGTGATGATAACGGTGAGGATAACTTTTACTGAACTTGCACCATATGTCAGTGGTGTTCCCACAGTATTCATTTAATCCTCATGACAACTTTATGAGCCAGGACCACTGTTATCCCCGTTTTACAGAGGAGGAATCTAAGGTGTCGAGTGGCTCAGTCACATAACAAGTTAGCAGTGGAACCTAGAGGCACACCATCCACACCATCTGGCTGCTCTTTCCCAGTAAGACACAAAGAGGAAGCCAAAGCCTCTAAAAGGAGGGGCACACGGGTGCCAGTTTCCCTCAGAGCACTGCCAAGGAAGGACGACGGCTCCACTGGCCTGGGCATATGATGATCCACCTGCCACCACTCCATGCCCAACCATCTTGCTCTGAGGGATCAGGCTTGGGCCTGACCCTTCCCTCTGTGAGCAACTGGCCAGCAGCCAGCCAAGGTTGCAGCCACCAGCATGTCAGCACTGGT